TAGCATGTATAGCTAAAAGAGACAGCCTAAAATATGAGCCAGTTGTGCCACATACTTACAATACAAGACATAAAAAGGATATTGTAACTTCGACCTATAAGCTGGAATTCTCAAAAAAAAAACCAACTTTTGCTGGATCACTAATTCTAAGGAAATTGCCTGCCTCTATAAAGGAGGAATCAAATTATAAATTATTTAAATCTAAATTAAAAAAACATTTAATAGAAAAGGCGCCTTATACAATGGAGGAACTCATTGAATAAATGCCTATTCATACTTAAAATGTATTTATATCTTTAAGCTAGTTTAGTACTTTATACTTGACACTATTTTTGTACCCATGTACATGTAAGGAAAATAAAGATGTTTTGATTTGATTTGATTTGATTTGCCGCTAATTGTGACTGCCGCCGACTATGAAGTGCGCGCTGTAATTCGATTTTTAAGTGCTAAAGTTATGAAAGCTATTGAATATCATCGACATATCAATAAAATGTATGGCGAGAACATTATGAGTGACGGAATAGTACACAGGTAGGTAAGGGCATTTTAAGACGGCCCCACCAACGTTCATGATGAGCAACGCACTGGGTACGGACTACGGGGACAGTAATGACGCCGCCCAGTGCGTTATTCACCATGAACGTTGGTGGGGCCGTATTTAAATGCCCTTGTCCACTTGCCTACCATTATGGCATTCATAATGTTCTCGCCATACACTTCACTAATCTGTAGATGATTTTCAATGGCTTTCACACCCATAGCACTTAAAAATCTAATTACCGCGTGCACTTCACAGTCGGCGGCAGTCTCAATTGGCGGCACCATTTTGAATGCTCAAAACCGGATGTAAACACGGCCGATTTTTCTCGAATTTCCGGCTAGGTCTTACCAATAGATGCCAATACACAGCGCAAATTTCAAAAATGCCAATCAAAGTGCTGGAACGGAGAAATTTAAAAACGGTACTTACTTAAAAAACATGCCTCGTATTATCCAAATAATTTCTCGATTTTAGTCTCACAGTCCTGTTTTTAGATTGAGAGTTTCCAATAAGTTCCTGAGAGTATGGTGAATTACGCAAATAAGGGAAATGAACCTTTCATTGAATGGTTCCTCTAATGAACCTTTCATTTACGGCAACAAAGAGTAAAAATTTAACTGTCTCAGCCAGCTTTTTCTTGCTTAAATGTAAGCCACCACAATTTAAACATTTAATGTTCATTTGTATAAAGGTTGGATGTATCACCACAGTGGTACTGCCACTCAGTATTCGTCAAATGTTCCATTGGGAGGTTTGATGCAAGCGGTCACGTTCTTAGTTCCCTCCAGTCCCTCACAGTTCTTCGTCTTACTGGCGGCATTAAATTTTAAATTTTAATAAAATACAAAAGTTATCCAAACAACAGAAAACACTATAAAGGAATTTTGATACACATTGTAAATTACACAATAATATGGTAAAGTAACGGATAACTACTACCTGCCTGTGAATAATCACTTTTAAACATTCACTTCTGTAATGAAAGTAAAATCTCAGATTAATTACAAACAGAATAATGGGTTTTATTTATCTTAAAAATGAACTATGAACAAGGAATTGCATTAATGGAATATAAATAATTTATTTTTGTAAAAAAATACAACCGACTTCAAACGCTCTAAAAAGAATGAAATAATTTCAATAAAGTAAACTTTTGTATTAGGCAAGCTCACGTCTTTTAAGTCGGCGCGGCTCTATGATGATTTTTGATACAAAATTGAAAGAGGGTGTCCATATTGCAGGTGACTATCTATAACTAAAGTTGTTAATCTGCATGTCTTTTTCATAGTTATGCGTTAAGTGTTATTTTATTACCGTAATCAGAGATCGCCATTATAGTGCTATTAACGAGCATCTTTAAAAAGATTATAACGCATTTAAATGTTTCTAACATGGAAAAGTAACGTTTTAATACCAAACTAGCTTCTTTTCCCTATCATAATATCAAACTAAATTATTTTCCTATTCATATAGAACATTTGTATGTGTTATTTTCATAATGCATTTATTCTGAAGTAAACATAAAATACAAGAAAATATTTCTTTTAGTATATAAACAAAACAGTTCAGTATGTTTTTTTATATATTTATGTTATCCAGCTACAATTTATTGATTTTCAAAATACACACACAATATTTAATTTCAATCATATTTGCAGTTTGAACCGCGCCGACTTGAAATACGTGAGCTTGCCTAATACAAAAGTTTACTTTATTGAAATTATTTCATTCTTTTTAGAGCGTTTGAAGTCGGTTGTATTTTTTTACAAAAATAAATTATTTCATGATTTTTAGTGGCTGTATAATTTTTTATGTATTAATTACTTGAGGTTTTTTGATAAGCAAAACTGTTTGAAACAATCAAAAGTACCACAGAACAATCATTATTTTAAAACTGCTTGAGTCACCTGTTCAGGTTACATAATCAATGGGTATGAAAATAAACATTTTTAGATATTCCTTAAGAAAGAAAGAGTTGTCCATTACATTAGGCCTAATGAAAAACTAATTGTCTTTTCTAGATACATTGAAATGTCAGACATCATCGTTTCCTGCAATCGGTGTACTTCTACATTATAAGAAGAAATACAGTAACATCTCAAGCCTTTTGGAACAATATGAAAGTTATTCCTCAGCCACCAGCACTAAAAAATCTCTCAAAAGTAAAAAATTGGTCGTTAACATGTATTGTACCTTTGGAAAATATTATATGAAAGATTGGTTCAGCTAAAAGTGGTGCAAGCCATGTAGGTGGTTTTGTTTGATCAAGATATAGCCTAGTCGAAATTGCAAATCATCTTCCTCTAGGACTTTCCGAAGCAGGCATAATAGTATATGATATAGTAACTGGGTAGAGAATATCAATAAACATTCCATATCTGCAAATGCATGTTTAGTAATTAAAATATTTAACACTTTTAAGACAATTGACGACTATGCGCTGTCACACTTCTTAGGTCGTGTAAGGAATAATTGCATTTAATTTATATTTAGACCTGTTTTACGAATGCTTTGGTTTTCACAATTTACACCTTTATTTGTCAATATCATACAGCTATTCACTGAAACATATATGTTTTGTAAGTCAGAATATTCAATACTAATAAAAACAGAATTACTGTATACACAAATCAGGTCAAACGTTAAAATACATTTTTTATAGTAACCAAAACAAAATGCATTTTTCTCAATGTAATTCATTTAGGCTCCATGGCAAGAAATAGTTTATTGATCAATATGAAGCAACTGTTTCATGAAGAATTGTCTGTAGCTTCATTTAAATGGTTTCAACTAACAGCTGTAGGAATGTTATTATTATTTATTGCCTTCTCTGCACAAATGTAAACAATCTGCACAAATATAAACAAAATAAATTTTGAATATTTAAGGTTTTCAGAATTTTTCACCGAAACAAATATTTGAAATATTATACTTAAACATAATATATAAGGTACCAAATAGAAACTCTCCTGGTTATTTTGTTGGTGGAACCACACTGATCGGTAAAAGAATCACAGAGAAATTGGTGAACATACATAGAAAAAAAAAAACATCGCCACAGACAAATTGAGAACCTCCTCCTTTTGTTGGTAGTGGGGAAGTCGGTTAACAAAGCTGAGTATTTACTAATAACATATGACAATAAACATATTAAACAATTAAATCATGTGAGGTAAGTTTAGTTGTATTTATCATTGACTATTGATTTTATTCACTACAACTTCATCACACCAAACTATAACCAAAACTAATTCAGTAAAATACAATGTAAGGTAAATTAATTCAACTATTACAAACAATTTGCTGTCTAGTATTGCTTGGAAACTTTTTATTTATGAATCGGACTTAGTTAACTGATGTAAAAAAATATATACATTCCGGCTTTGCTCTGAAAGTAATAAGTCCGGCTCACTTGGCTAAGGCGTTGCTCTAACGAGTCAAACACTGAGAGCTACCTATATGCGCAGGTTCGAATCCCGTTCATGTTCAATACATTATATTAAGCTTACTTATATGTTGCTTAGCGAGTGGGATCAAAGTTACCAGCCTTAGAGTTTAGTGGGGGCCGCCTACAACACTTGTTTTGCTTCTTCTCACACTTTGTATAAAAGAGGAGGACACATTTTTTTTAAATATACAACGATACCAATCGACAATGCTAAGAAAGATAACTAATGCACCTTGGTATGTCACCAATAGAAAGCTACATCAAGACCTTAAGACCCCTACTAAACAGTTAAGGTCAAAATCATGACCTTAAGTGAAAGATATATTTTCGAAATTAGAATGTCATCAAAATCATATAGCGTTGAACTTACTAAACAACACGGATCAATTCTGGACCTGCCCTTCAGATTTTTCTGAAGTGGTTTATCGAAGAATTTATTGTTGACAGTGCTTAGCAGCTATTTTTAATGTTCAAAAGTTACTTTGTTGTATTGCATGGCATTTACTTATTGTTCAACATATTTGTAGAACAGATTATAAAATTAAAAAAAAACATATTTTTTATTGATTGGTTTATGCTGTCACCTCCCAAAGGGTTAAGTGCTTTATGGCTCAATTTAGAGCGAGGAACTGGGCTTGAAGAGGGTGCTGGAGGAAACCAAGAATGGAGGGTGACATATCCTATAGTAAAAATTATATTTTACCATAGACAAAAAGAATGAAATATAGACTGTCAGCCGTGCTGCGGTTGCCATGGTTACCATAGGTTCCGGCGCACACCGCTGTAGTTTACGTAGCGCGTACGCCGTAACTACCGTGGTGCTCCAAGCGGTGTGCGCCAGAACCTATGGTAACCGCAGCACAGCTGACGGTCTATATTTAATTCTCTTTGTCTATGATTTTACTAAAATATACTATAGGTAGTGCAGCTAAAAATAATAAATAGTTGTAATTCTCATTTTTATTACAATGTAAATATTTTAAGAAATTTTAACTATGTAACCCTTACCAGACAAGGTGTGTTGACAACGCCATTCTTCATTTTGAACGCAGCAGACGTGACGTCAGCAAATGTGATGGCTTGGGGACGGTCGGCTCGACAGTTAGGGTCCACCACCGATCCTCGTCTGTCTTGTTGGCTCTGTTAAAAAAAACACGTTGTAAGGTGTAACTAAAATCCTTGGATATTCGTAAATGTTTATAAATGCTTAAGTTTTCCTGTTAACTGCAGTGTCTAAAGGATGCATATCTTTTGACATGAGAAGATGTTCAACCTATAACTTTCCAGATGATATGGAATATTCTGAGTGGTTCCAATAAATTAATATTCAATAAATTTACAAAAATATGCTTTGTCTGCAGGTTTGTTGTGACAGGGGTGGAATCTGAATATCTATAATCCTCAAAATTTTAATTACTTGACGTCTTAACACATACCTGGAGGTTAATTAATAGAAACGTCCATGATATTATAGTATGAAATATCAGAAATATCAACAAACAAAAAACACATCTTCATCCATTTTAATTTCATGTTTTAGCGGATTTCCCATATAGGGAATAAGCTTTTACCGTAGTACTCATGGTAAGACCTGGACCCGGGACCGATTTACTTCTTCGTTTTGAGGTCCCTAGAGGCCAAAAACACAATCCGTTCAAATTCATATGTATGTATATATGTGTGTCCGTTAGCACGATAACTCGAGCAAAAATGATCCGATTTTGATGAAATTTGGTACAAACATGTAAACCTACATTTATTCTAACGAGTTTGCGAACTAACATGGTCGGACTATGGGAATGGGGGTTTATGGGGGGTTTTATGGGGTAAAAATAGGTTTATCCAATTTCTGACCCTAAAACAAAAAATTTCACAACTTCTTTCAAACCATTTTGTAGAGCTTAAAAAAGAAAATAATTTAGTATATTGAAGTGTTATTATGCGCCTAATGGTTACGAAGAAAACTCAAAAAAGTTGTAATTGAGTGAAAATTTAAAAACGTACGTTTTCAGGAAAAGCACTTTGCAATTTTTGTTTCCCTTTTTTCAAAACTTTTATTATTTTTTTTTATTTCATTAACATTTGAAGTTTCATAAATTGTGCATGGTAACGCAATATCTTTGGCAGTTTTTTTTTTAAAGAGCATCTTTAAACAAAATCCTGTCACGACCATAACGGACTTTAAAATGAATATTAAAAATAGTTAATATTATTTTTATAACTATGTTTTGCTATAAATTAATTTACTTTTATGGCCATTATACAATAAAAAGGTCACTAAGCTTTTGGTATATTTGGTCTTTCTAGAAAAAAATAAAAAACTCAAAAAATTGTAAAAAAGCCACTTTTTAAGTTTGTATAACTCCGAAAAAACTGACCTGAGACCCGAAAAATCGTTATGTTTGTATAGAGGTGTGCTTCTTTTGTGTAGAAAACATTGAAATATGATGATATTTTAATTTTTGAAATTTTTATGATAGAAATCATAAACGTGATGGTCAGGGACAAGCGGTACGGTCGTGAATTGTCTGGAATAATCTACATCTTTCTAAACAATCCTTCAATTATACTGTTAGTTATAATAAAAATATGTGTTTCAATTGAACTAAACTGTTCAATTTACAATGATATTTAAGTTATTGTCACGACCAACCACAGTATAATCCATAAGGCTGGATTGGTCGTGAAAAAACCCGCGATGGTCGTGAAACTTTGGTCGTGAAATTATGTGTTATTTGGCTCTGTTCTGGCGGTAGCCCTGCACCTCATGTTCGAGGATACAAAGTGGACTTCTAGGTTAATCTACCTATTGAAATATCTTATAAACAAAAATTACACCATGTTTACTTCATGGAATGACTAACTACTACGGTCATGGACACACCAAAATTACAAAAAACACAATCTTTCCTTTATTAATCTTGTAATTCCTCCTTTAAACTCGAAACGACTGGCACTACAATCCTGACATACACCCCAAACAAGTCTCTAAAACCAACTGACTCCGTCGACACCAGGCTTGCCACTGTCGTGCTCCAAAGTTGAAAATTTTTCCCAAATGGTCGTGACGCCAAATCGAGGGACAGACTTATTTTGTCATGGTAGTCAGTTTGCAATGACAATAAAATTATAATATGCTCCTTTTTTGTAAGTTTAATAACTATTGATGACATAAAAATATGGCTTTATATATTTCGGCATGATAGTCTAAAAACAGCGTGAAAGTTGGAAAATGTACCCTAGGGACACGTCATGGTCGTGATTTCGAGACTTTAAAAATACAAAAAAAAAATACCTAGAACCTATTTAAAACCAAATAAATGTGTGTAACATGTTGCCCCAGTCCCAAAAATATTAAAACACATAATAATAAACTACAAATCCAGTACTGTATATACGAAGTAAAAGGCCAGGGACATGAAAACGTATGTTTTTAAATTTTCACTCAATTTTAAAATTCCCATGTTATTCTTATGGAGAATAAGTGAACTTTTGTACCTTAGTTTGCTTGTTTATGAACATTTTTTGACCAAATTTGGAAAATACATCCATTTCTTACTAAACTACAGTTCCTATTAACATTTTACATTTTAAAAAACACTCTTTTACCCTCCCTGTTGCAGCAAACCTAAGTTCTCGTTAAACTAATTCTATTTAAATAGGGAATAAATGTGATATTTTACAGGGAACATTTAAGTGTAAATCCAATCAGGCAAATGGAAATTCGCTAAGTCTGCAGGTTTGCTGCGGTGGGGGTATTTAGTATATATTTTTGAACACTTAACCTCTAATATCTAGTTCAAACCTAATTGTCATATGTTCCTTGAGTTAAAAAAAACCAATAATCTTATCACATGTAAGCTACCAAATAAACAATTCCTGTTTCAAAACAAACATGTAAATTTTGTGTGTACTATCTAATAATGGAGTGATTTTAAATTTAATAATGTGATTGTTCAATAGTGTCAAAATGCTTCTATATTCTTGTCTTGGCCTTCTCACCCTGCAGATAGGTGTGGCTGTGCTTGCAGCTTTATTCATCATTTTAGCAGCTTTGATAACCATATCCAACTTCTTTGATATCCACACTGGAGGTGGCTTTCCAGTAAACTACATTGTAATTGGAATTTTTATTGCTCTACTTCTTATCGCCGGAGTAGTGATGTTTCTAGCAGCTTATGATGAAAACAGAGGCAATTGTCTTTACGCTATTGTTTTAATTGTAATTATTTTATTATACTTCATAATTGCTTCAGTATTTTCTTTCCTGAACACTCCTTTGTTAACGAATCAAGTTTGTGTCTACGACAATCATTGCCCAGAATCTCTGTGGCTGTCAAGTTTGAACTATCGGATAAATTATCACGCTGGGTATAGTGGTGAAGATGAGTCCTCCGCCATATATGATTATAGAGATCCTGCAGACATACCTACCACAAGTACCACAGAGATTCCAGAATCGAGAAATAGGATCCATAACTATCAAGGGAGATACAGTCACCGTAAACCTACTTACATAAGTGGAGAATCATTAAACACCAGACACAAAAAGTCAACAGCAAACGATTTAGTTGATGACATTCCAGAAATGTTCAAAAGAAGTATATCTGCCATAGTAAATTATATTGCTGAAGACCCTTTGGATAGAAAGTGGAAAGAATTCCAACAGGTGTATAAAAGAACAATTGATGACGATTACCCTGAAGGAGAAAACGCTGAAATTAAGGAACCGGAAGATGCGGACGTTCCACCAAGCCTCGATATGGGGTATAATTTCTTTGTAGCTGTGATACTATTTGTTGCAAATGTGATATTTTTTATTTTTACTATCATCGTGCTGATAAGCTACAGGAAACTGTTGATATATATCAAGCTTTATTCGGAAAACCCAGCGAGCAAACATTATCTTATGACGTAGATAGTTTAACTGAAATTTACTATCCATTAATTCTTTAAGTTACTGTGTTTTTATGTTTTAAATTATTTCTTTATTAAAAGTGTTAATATTGCGAAATTTACAGTTCATCAAAGTCCATTTCTTTATCAAGTTTGTGGGTTGAAAAATGAAAACATTTTTTTTTAGAATTGAAGGTAAATAAGTTAGTTATACATCATTAATGTTTTTTGACAACTCATAACAAGTTTGTTATTGTATCTCTAACTTATTCATGTTATTTCCCCCTGAATGATTCTAAAATGTTTGTACCTTTAAAATTGGTCATTCAATTTAACTAATAGATACCAGTTGTCATTGTGGGCAAACAATAACACCTCTTCATAATAACATAGGTAATCTCACTACAATAAAACCACCATATTTCAAATCTGAAGGGGTTATCATAAATGTTGGAGTTATTGAGTTTTTCGAGTAAGCGAGATTGGTGTTATGAAGGTGTTATAACAAAAACTCGAGATACCGACGTATTGGATTTAAAAAATTATGTTACGTCACGTTCCTTATAAATCAAACTCAAGCTATTTATGCATACTAAAGGGTAACTATAGAAGAAAAATAAAACTATTTATTTTGCAAGTTAACAACAAAAATAGGATACTGTAGGTACTGTATGTTCATTCTATAAATACTAAAAAACCACAATACAATAAAAATTAATAAAGAGTTGCTGATCCGTTTAAAATACTGTGAATAAATATGAAACAAGAATTATTTGTGAATAAGCAGTGCGGGACGGTATTTATTGTACTTTTTAGCATAATCAAGATTAAACGTAAGTCCAATGTTTTGCAAGCATATTGTATAGACAAAGTTAAAAATTAATTAGATACCATACTCTAAATCCTACAATACAATTATACTACAAAGAAAAAATAAAAAAATCAAATGATGAAAATGATCTCAATAACTGGCAGAATAATAGTACTAGCCAAACAAACAAATGAAGGGTTTTTCATATCTAGACTAGACAGGAATCAAAACACAGCCAACTTTCACCGAATGGCAAAACTTCAAGTTTGAGGTACATTGTGCGAACTTCTTCTTATAAAAGTAAACTTGGCGTTATTAGAGGCTCGATAACAGGAAAATTAGAGTTAGAGAGGTATTACCTTACCTTTAACTATTAATACAACTAGACATTCCATTTTCCATTCCCATATTAAAGTTGTCGCCAGTTTTTCAATCAAAATTGTCGTAGTTGATGTGAGCCTCCGATAGATTGTGCTGATCCAAATCACTCATTTTTGTCGAATACACAGACTTTTAAACAAAGTCAAACTAATGGAATGACTTATGGTCAGCTATAGCAACTGTTATGGTCCATCAACTTGGTCAGCAACAATAAACGAGGTAGAAAATAGAAGACAATTATTCCGTATGTCTACACTGAGAAAATATGTTATTTGTAGCAGTTTTTTTCACGATGAATCTAAAAATGCAATCAGCTTTTGTCGGATAGATTCCTAAGGAATTTTAGACCTAAACACATTCTGTGGCTAGCTCACATACATAACTATGTTCTTTGATAATAACAAATTGGCGACAACTGTTCCATATAGATGGGATGTCTACTTCAGTATCCAATATTCAATGGTATTATTGATCAAAAACTGTTAAAAATTGACTTTGGGGTTGAATATTTAACACCTCCGACTTAAAGAGGTACTTTTAACATCAAGGACAAAATACAATACAAAATTTGATATCAAGGAATTCAAGATATCAAGGTACATGTCTGAATGTAAATCATCTTGTTCATATTGGCTAATATAATCAGAGTAGTTAAAATTTACAACTAAAATAAAGAACAGCTTGTACAGGGTGGGGCAGAGTGGACTCCCTAGTTTCAATCAGTCCGAAGTCGCTGAAGAGCGTGCACGCGAGTTAGCGGAGTGGGAGAGGTTTCATGTGGTGGGGGGAAAGACGCCATTGTTAGTAGTCACCATGCCGTAAACTGGCGAGCATCGTGGTTTTGTAGTCAAAACACGTTCTTTAAAAATAAGGATAGTGTGGTGGCGTGCATTTCGTAGACGGTTTGGTTTGAATTGTCATGATAGTGTTCCCGATGCTAAAACCTTAAGGAAATGGATTACAAGTGTACGGGCGACCGAATCTGCAACTGAGGTTTACAAAGTTCGACCAAGGACCTTGGAAGCCCTTAAGGAAGCAATTGTTGATGTTATCACTGGAATAATGCCAGATATGCTGTGTAGAGTTTTTGAAAACTTCATTGAACGGCTGAATATGTGCATCGCTCGTCAAGGTCTTCACCTGGACGATATCATTTTTAAAACTTAATGAAAAATAAATGGCATTGTATTTAGATTTCAGAAATAAAAAGCTTTTGTAATAATCTTGTATGGTTTTTATACAGTTAACCGATCAAATCAGGGAGTCCACTCTGCCCCACCCTGTACCTTCTTACAGTTGAATTAGATTGTACGGTATGGTAATTGAAAATGTTCAGATTGATATCTGGAAATTAATTAAAACCTACTTTCTAACAAGAAACAATTATTTGAAGAAACTGCGTATTGTTATCTAAACATGAATCATTATCTCAGAAACAAATGATAAATTTTGTTCCTAAAGTTCATGATCCTGACCTTTAGCTTTCATAAAAAAAATTTGAAAAAAAAACAAGATAATACATGCTAACACTTTCAAATGTGACCATCAAAAATCAATCAAATCAAATCATTCATTATTCACTATACATAAAATAACATGTATTGAATAGAGTCGAATAGGCTATAAATACATATACAAAGTGCTTAAAGTATATTACCAAGATTTACTGTAGGGGGAAAAAATTGATTGTTCCTTAAAAAGTGATTAATCTTTAAAAAGTGAAGCATTTCTAACTGAATATTTAAACAAAAATATAAGTTAACGTTGATTACGTTGATAAAGTATATTACAGTACTAAGATTTACTGTAGGGGAAAAAATTATAGTTCTTTAAAAAGTGAAGCATTTCTAACTGAATATTTAAACAAAAATATAAGTTAACGTTGATTCAATCACAATAACATGAGCTGTTAATAAAATAACAAAATTACATCCATTTTCTTGGCTTGGATAAAAATAAATGTCTTACTAATCATGGTGAAAATTTAAATTGTTTCCCTAATTTTGCTATGGAATTCAAATTATGTAACTACTAAATTTTATTATTTAGAAATTCTTCTATGGAATAAAATGGGAATTTGATTAAAAAGAATCTAGTGTTCTTTTAAATTTATTCAAATTGTCTTCTATCTCCATATGAGCCGGCAGGTGTTGCAAACAATTTAGACCAGAACAATAAGTTTTCTTTTTGAAAAATTCCAATCTATGTTGCGGTAAGTTAATTTTAAACCTAGTGTTATAGTCATTAGTATTGCTAGAAGTGGATGACAATTGAATTTTTTTGCGTAGACGGATGTTTCATAAACATAGAGTCACCATCATGGAGCTTTATCTCCGTACCAGTACTGGCAGTATTACAGACACCGTTTTAACAATAATGGTTTTCAACAATATAAAATCTTTAAAAAGATTGTTAGTCCTTGGAGGCTAGGGGCTATCTTGAAAAATTTCAAACAGCGACTAGAGAGTTATTTATTTATCGTCCAAAAATATTTTTTTCAAACACCAAAGTGATTATAATTTAAATATTTAGTATACTGTGGTATTAGAAATACGCTTTGTAGTTTTGAATTGTTCTCATTCAAAAGTCCTCAAAAGTCCATGGAAGCTAACGGCCATCTATGATTTGCCAGCAATAAGAGCAATGTTAATTTTGTTAATTTCAAACAGCCGCTGTAGAGTTCTTTACCATCTCAAAATATTTTTCAAACACCAGTGTGATTTTTATGTAAATATCTAGTGTACTGTGGGATTTGAAATAATTTCTTTGTTTTAAAAATTTGTAGTTTTTTTAAATTGTTTGACTAGTTAGAACATCTAGGCTCCAAGGACTTACAAAGATTATTTTTAGTCAGAAAAACCAACCTTGTAATAAAATGTTATGTCCTTCAGCAACTTTATTAATCAAATCAAATAAAATATGCTTTATTCAAAAAAGTAGGGTTTTGTACACTGAATGGCATCAAATAATCTATTTTAAATTAATAATTTACATATCTTAGACAACTACCTATCAGGGCCAAGTATTTTTTTGTTTGATTGTCTAAGGAATCTTGTGATATGATTAACCAGTATATTTATGTTAACATATGTTTATATTTAACCAGTATGTTGAATGTTAATCAACATCTGCATGAGTATCCACCATCGATCTCTATTGATCTGGTATCCACTCAGAAGTAGTGCGAGTTATTGGTGGTTTAAAAATGGTCCTAGCTGTCTTTGATCATTGGGCTTTAATAAAATGGCCTTGGCTAATGAAACAGCTGTTCTTAGTCAGTAGTACAAACCTACATAGGGCACCTCACTCCATTATACCATTTGAATCACTTCTTTCAGTTGAGGCATCCATATACAAAAGCCCAAAGTACCCATGAACTTTTGAGAAAACTACAAGTCACACCCCCCTGAACCATATATTTAAAATATTCGTCATGACGAGAAAACCTTGCCCAAAATTATTCATTATTTCATAAATTAAGGTCATAATTGCTTTCCAAAGTGAACTTTCCGCATACCTAATGTTAAAAATACCTCAGCTGTACCGGTACTTATTTGTATGCCATTCTTTCAATTAATACCTTATTAAAATCAGGTGTGATTTATTTTTGTTTGTATTACTGTATTCGGTTTGTTTATTTCAGCATAACTTAACCAATCAATAGTTTTATTAACACTTATGGAGTCAAATGGGCTCCGTGGATAACAGCTAGTTTGACATAAATCAATAATTTGACATCAACACCACTATGTTAGTTGGTAAATTGAACTAGTTAATTTTCACATTAAAAGTGGCCATATATAACATTAACATCGGAATGAAATATTTATTTTTATTAATAGTCAAAGATGCTATACAGTTCTCTGTCTGGTTTAAGGCTGGTTCTGGTTTTGTGTACTAGGTAGTAGGTATCAATTATCAATTACTTTTTACTCGAGGACGGGATCATATTCCAGGTTCCGACCTGAAAACTTTGGTTTTTGGTTGTGAAGGAAAAGCGATAAATAAGGGATTAATAACATGAGGACTTATATTAGGTCTACCTACCTCATTCTTCTGATTGTCCTGAACAGTGACGTCTTCAGGTAGACTGGTGTTTTCTGCAGCTTCACTGACTCCCGGAGACATGGCTATGTAGGTCTCGGCTCTGAGCTGTCCTAACAGTTCTGACAACAGAGAGAACCACCTCAAAACTAGCAACACAAAGCTTCGCCACATCTGCCCCAGTATCACGGGTCATGACCTTCTTTATCACCTTCTCCATTACTACGCTGCAAGCACAAATAACTAAATTTTCGCATTGGTTTTGAAATATTTTGAGTTCTGAAATTTTTTTTGAGTTCAAGTTGTTTTCAATGTTTTCATTTTGACATTTGACATTTTTAGACAGATTGGTATTTGATGACCTTCATTATCACCAGGCCTCTGCCAAGTCACACTGCAATCACAAAAACGTCAATCTAAAATTTTACCGTCACCATAAGTGTGAACAAATTGCTTTCATTTTGAATATTTTAAAGGTTTTATGCTCTTTTGACCATTGCTATCACCAATACTATACCACTAAGCTGCCATCATAAATAACTTAGTTTTCAAATTGGTTTTGGAATAACTAAAGTCGTCTAAATTTCCTATTTTGATTTAGTCACACCCCAGTCAGCAAAAATACCTGAACCATTTTTATTTTTATTTTAAAATTGTTTTACGTTTTTATTTTGAGTCAAATAACATGGATTGTTTATCTTTTTATCGGATTTCGTATAGTCGCCATTTCAATTTAAAGTTTATTTCTCCAGAAAATAGTATGAACTATATGATTAGACATGATAACTTTTTTAGCCACAACTTTATCCAAACTAATAAGGCGGTCAGGGTCAGAGAAGCGGTTTGATAGTATGAAAAGTTTTTTTCAAACCAGAAAGTATGAATGTTGCAAGTAAAGTGCAGACAGATATATCTTCCGCATGCAAGATAAGGTCAGTGATACTCACCAAAACACATTTACTTCTGAAATTGTCATTTCCACGGCAATTTTAAACTCCCTTCACTTTACTTACTATCATTGCATTAGGACCACAAACTTCAGTCATCTGGCGACGAATATCTGCAGCCATATGTTTCTTTGAGTCAAAAACACATCACTAACCAGCATTGAGATTCAATAATTAAAAAAGGTTTCTAGACATAGAAAATACACGTATACAAGTCAGCTATAAGGCTGCAAATCGATGATCTGTTCACAAATTATGTCAGTAAGTGGTGAGGAGCAAACTAAGAAGCTATACACATAACTGGACCTTACTTAAAAACGACTCTCTCATAAAGAGATTAAAAGATAAAAGTAAAGTTTAAAAATGAATGTATAGAACCCCCACGACTTAACCATAGGCTAACTATCTCTAAGGCTAGGATTATACTAGGACGCTGGCGTCCGAGAGGCCAGCGTCCGGGACGCTAGCGGGGCATTAAATCAAATGGGGGCGATTATACTATGGATGCTAGCGTCGGATGCTAAAAAGAGCCACCGGACGCTCGAAGCTATTCCCGTAGGTGGCATGGGAAGACCTAGGCCCGGGACCGATTTACTTTTTTATTTTGATGTCCCCAGAGGCCAAAAACACCATCCGTTCGTATAGATTTAACTATTATATATATGTCTGTAAGCGCGATAACTGGAGTAACTTTTGTCCTATTTTGAAGAAATTCTGTTTTAAGGTGAGAGGTGGGATAAAATTAAATAAGTTCGCGAACCAGCATGAACAGACCTTGGGAACGGGGTTTTATGTGCTAAAAAAGGGGGTTTGTCATTTTTGACCCATAAAACAGAAAAATTCCAAATCTCTCTCTTGACAATTTTAATGAGCTTAAAAACAAATAATTTAGTATATGTAAGTGTATTTGTACTGTTATTAGCTATGGAGAAAATTTAAAAAAAGAGTATATTAAAAATTGCCATGATATTCTTATAGAAAATGTTGTTATGTGTTGGAATTTGCTTGTGTATATTTTGATTAAACTTGGAGGATTTGTTTTATACTAAGCTAATAATACAGTATTTTACTAAAAACACACTTTAGTAGCCCCCTTAAAGCATCAAACCTTGGTACTCATTAAACCTAATGTTATTTAAATAGATATAAACAAAAAGTGACTAAACATTGAAATAAAATGGCAGTCCGAGAGGCTAGCATCCCAACACAAATCACGCCATTTTTCGGCTCGAGGTGGGACGCTAGCCTCTCGGACGCCAGCATCCCGGACGCCAGCGTCCTAGTATAATCCTAGCCTAATTGATATCCAATTGCTTTTGACCTTCCTGATGTGATCTTACAATCTTCCATTTGCACGGTTCTTAACATAAGTTACATAAGTTGACTAGATGATAATAATGTGGGGACTTTTACCAAGTTTTTCACATTACAACTTGAGTTTATATTTTTATCTCAAAAAATTAATTCATCGTTAAATCTGACTCTTTATCAAGCTTCTTGACCCTTGTTTTGGCTGCTGTTACCCTTCTGATTATTCAACATTTTTTGCAAATCACAATTGCCACATACCGTTCAACAGTACTTGTCAAAAATATTAAGCATTTCTAGGGAGTTTTGAACTGGTCCATTTACATACAAAAGATTATATCATGAACAACACAGTAACTTTAAAGTAAATGCTCCAAACATTTTGGTATTGACCTACTTTTAAGTGGGACAATGATACAGCTACGCCAAAAAGTAATTTTTATAAATGGTTGACTTCACAACATAGAGATAACTGAACTTCGATTTGAGTATCAAGTCAGGAAAACAACAATATATAACTTTGATTTATTATTTCTTGCGTAAATTAATTGCACATTATTTTGTTACGATAAAAACTGTGTATGTGCAATAAATTTCTTTGAACTTAAAATTAACAATAATTTATTATTTCATTTTTATCCTCCCTCATTTCTTTGAAAGAGGTCATTCAATAACTGAGTTTTGAAAAAGTCCCAACTTATAACTTGGAAAGGAGATGTGTTTCTATTTCTAACCACTACCTCAACTTTTCAATATATTGACCAATTTGACAATAATTAGTCTCCTCGACAGCAATTTTTATGTTTTTTGAGAATTTTAGGTTAATAAGATAAAATTATGATTTTTCCACAGTGATGCATAACTGGAATTAAACTTAAATATAAACTGCTCGAATAGAATCTAAATACCCCCTTCGCAGCAAACCAACTCATAAGACCCATGTTAATATTTTAAATTAATTTTTTGTGCTTTTTTTTGTGTCTATTTTAATTTAAAGGGATTCTGCTCATCTACAGGCAAATATCTTCATATTCATATTTCACTACAGTACTCATTTAAATAAGACTATTTTTGTAAATGATAAAATATGTATGATCGAACCGAGCAAGGCTCGGTCCCCTCTGAGAGTTAAACATTGAGTTGACGCCAGTGCACTCAAACGGCACCAACACAAATCACTCATCACCACTGACTTTCTCTATTTTCCCCTATATCGAGTAATCTTCAGTGTAATCTTTGTCCAATAGTTAGTTACAACTGATGTTTATCACTTTTTACTGTATTTAATAATTTGCTAGTATACTGTTGATGGCTTGTTATTTAAACACATGTTACAAGGCTATTTAATTTTTATTCAAGAAGCGACGACAACTGTAACTAGGAGATGGAATGTTTAGTTACTGTCAAAGAGTAGATCTACCCTTTATCTATTTATTCCAACTGACATCTCTATTTTTACATTCAACCATAGAGTAAGCACCACAATTAGATTCCTCATCCCATTGTACATTTTGAAGCTTTGTTTTTGGTGTCTAGTTCATGTACCTCCATACTGATCGCTGGGGTATAAAAAATTTTGTTTATATTAATTTAGGGTTATTTTAATGATTTGTGATTTACTATTTGGTTATAAAGCTAGGAGATTATTTATTGTTTATGATTACATTGTTTTATTTGGTTAAATAAGGTTTTAAATTACTGAAATAACAAGAAACAAATTGTAAACAAAACACCAACCTCTACAGCAGTTGGACGTACGGAAGTAACAATAAAATTGGCTTCAGCTGTTCCAGGGTGATAAATCTACGAAGGGAGTATGTTTTATCTATGATTTAACTAACATAACAGCTAGTCAAACAAACAAGAAATAACAAGAACAGCATACATTTATGATTTAGTACATGGGAAAAATGCTCTTCAGTCTTCAGTTATAATAATATAGAGCCAGTAGTTTACAAGTTGTTATATTTGGTCATAACAACTAGTTAGTAAAACCATAGACAAAAAGAATTAAATATAGCCGTCAGCTGTGCTGCGGTTACCATAGCTTCTGGCGCACACCGCTTGGAGAGCCATGTATTTACGGCGTACGCGCTACGTAAACTACAGCGGTGTGCGCCGGAAAATATGGTAACCATGGTAACCGCAGCACGGCTGACAGTCTATATTTAATTATTTTTGTCTATGGTAAAACCCTATAAATTATATGAGAGAAGGCAGTTGAACTTATGTTTGTATCCACATAAATCATAGCAAAATAATTGTCTTAAGCTGGTTCATAATGACAATTCTCATGATCAACCACAGTATTATTTTAGTTTTATGCATTCATATTGCTATAAGTTCCCATTAGAATAATTGCAGACTATTACCAAGAGTAAACAAAAGTATAGACTGTTATCAAGATAATTTTTTGAATTATTGTCAATTTGCATAAGAATGCATCTCAGATGGTAAGATTAGTTTCTTTATCAACTAAATTATTGCTGGAGCTGGATACTGAAGACTTCTCAACCATTTGTAAAATCTGAAGCCCCTATTTACCTGTGTTTTAGGTACTTTTGAGTGTGCTGAAGCTGACAGTATGGGTTTATAATATTTTAGAGTATATTTTACAATTTGCACGTTACAATACTAAAAGACTAACAGTAGTCGTAAGCATAATTTGGTTAAAATGTAAGAAATAAAAATATAACTTAAAATCTGTTTAAGCTTATTAGAATGAGGGTGTCAAATCTATGAAGAAGTATGTCTAACTTATGCTTAATCTCACCTTCTCTTGGAGACAGTAATACATCCATGTTTGACAGAAGACAGACTTGAGCTTTGGAGATTCATACTCAAGACCCAAAGTCCACAAAGATTACAAACTCCATTGTTGATAAAAGGAAAACACCACTTGACTAGATTAGGCTATCCTCACTGGCAAATACAATAGGGTA